TGTCTACTTGCGATCACCAATCGGTCAATACCATATATCCTGTCGTTTTCAATTGATTATCAGGGCCTTAGGATCGCTTATGATATAATCGAAACTGGTCAGAGATTGCTTGGCAACTCTGTCGGTTTTCTCGAAATACTTTCAATTTGTGTGTACTGATTTGGGTCCCTGGGCGCAGTAAGCAAGGCTGGACAGGGCATATTTCTGAACAAATACGGCTTTAGTAATTCGTTTACTGTAGGCGTAGGTATTGATAACAGTTCTGACCGAGCGCTGTCCATTAAGAACTAACGCGGAACGGCTTAGCTGCTTTTCCCGACTCGTGGTTCTTTGGAGCATGATGGATTGTATTTCATTGAAATTCGCTAGGAACTCTCTGAGTTGAACCTGAGATGAATGCGGACCTTCATGTTGAGCGGTAATAAGTACTGCAAATTGAACGCTGGCAATTCAAAGACTCACGGACTAATTGAGCCAACCTCGTTAATTCAGCACTATGGTTTTTTTCATGGATATTTCTTTACGCCACCGTCAGCGAAAGACACAAATGCAGATATGCATACATACAAACATACATATACAACACTCAGTAAGAACCAAATGTGTTGCAACAGTAGCTGTGGCATATGCCACACATGTTTTTCATTGCTGCAGCTATTTGCGGTAACTTTAATGTTTTTGTTGCATTGTGGGGTTGCTTGTGGGAATTTGTATGCCACCAACCCGAAACATGCAAATGTGTAGAATAATTGTAATGTACATACATAGATACATATGTATGTTATATATTTTTCGAAATTCCCGGTTTTCACAACAGCCACACAGCAGCAACAGCAATAGTTGAATAATTATTCCTAAATGGAACATAAACAATGCAATCGCTAGACGAGTACATATTTGGTTTTTGTACCATCCATTGGTGTATATTTGGAGCAAAGGTGTTTCGCAATGATAAATATTTGTAATAAATTTGAAAGCTAACATGTTGACCGTATGGTCGATGACGCTGCAGTGAAGAGATCCTTTGACTCGACACCAATGGGGAAATTGAAAAAAAGCGTCCCTACAAACACAATGGACTGTCCAAGTGCAACTGAACAACCGGCGTAATTTTTTGAAGGAGTTGTAGTGGCAAAGAAGAAGAAGAGGTAGACCAAAGTCCTCTCCAGAAACTATCTACAGTGGTCAGCCATATAAAAATGTGCCCACTAAGCATGATAAAAGGTTTGCTCAGAAAACAGTTTTCTCGCGCCCTCTTGACAAAATCGGCTCGCTTAGCAAGGTCCTGTGTGTGGGTGAGTGTGTGTGTGTGCAAGGGAGTGTCAAAACTCTAATGTCACTAGTTAGCAAACCTTAAGTAGCAACTACGACCCATAGCGACAAATTTTCGACTAATTTTATACAAAAATGGTTGGAAGATCATGAACTTTTTTGTTTTTCTCTAAAAGCGCAATTCAAACAAAGATAGTTCAAAGTCTTTTGTAAGAAAATTACAAGGCAGTAGACAAGTTAGTTTTGACAGATCTTCTTTACGGCGCAATTCTAGCCCTGGATTGAAAAAAGTAATTCCTAAGCCAAATAAAACACAGATGGCAAGATAGTTCGAGAGATTTTTGGTATTCTAGCACAAATGTCTTAGAAAAAAACCTCTATCATTCATCATGCGTCGTAAAAAGCTCTTTTAAGAGCAACCACTTGTATGTATAGCTCTGATCCAATACTTTTCGTGTTAAATCCTGTGAAAATGTCAAACAGCAAAATTACTCTCTGAAGTGAGAGTAAAAAGTGAGTAACAACAAAAAGTACGGGAACAAAATAAAGTAAAAACGTCAACCAGTGATCGCTTGACACTTTCCATGATTTTACTAGAAGAAAAAGTTCGGATAAAATCTTGCAAGTTCATTCTCTACACAAGTCTCCAAAAATTTCTCTCATTTACAGGATTTTGGAGGAATTTGGAGTACGGGATCATTTTTCCATTAGCTTCCTGCAAGTTCGCGTAAAAACCTGTGAGTTTATGGAGTACTGGATCAGAGCTAATATTTTTTAGCTTGCGTCGATCCTACATTCGAAACATGGCGTGACATTCGAGAGATCCGAGTTCAAGTCTTAATATTAATTTACATTTTATTTTTTAAATTTCCATTTTTTTTCTCTTTCAATTTTTAATTTTTATATTTCATTGTTTAAGAAGAAAAATGTATTTATTCTTCTTCACATCATTTCTAGAAACTTATTGTTTTAGCTTAATTTTTAAATTTTATAGTGTAAAAAATTTTTTCATAATTACATTTAATTTTTTGAATTTGCTTTTATTTATTATTTTTTTCTTAATTTAATTTTTGTATAATCTTTGTATTTTGTTGTTTTGTTTTTTGTTTAATTTTTAGAGATTTATTTCATTTCTTTTAGTTTTTAATTTTTTCCTTTTTAGTACAATTTCTTTCTTTTAACTTTAGATTTTATTGTTTAAAAAAGTAAAACATTTTTTTTTTTAATTTTATTTAAATTTTAGAATTTTATTTCATTTGTCTCTTCTTTTTTAATTTATTTATTTTTTCGTGTGTTAATTGGCTTTTTTTTATNTATTTATTTTTTCGTGTGTTAATTGGCTTTTTTTTATTTTCATATTTACTAATTTAATAAGAAAAATATATTTGTTTTTTTTTTTTAATTTAATTTTTAGGATGTTATTTTACTTTTTTTACCTCCCTTTTATTAGCTCGGGATGTAACTATGTAATATCGATGCCCCTAAAAGATGCAGCGATTTCTATTCTCAAGTTACATACCTGATCACAGTACGAATGGAAATTATAATAGCGAGGTTTTAGTTTTTTAAATTATAATTTTATTATATTATGTGTGCTCTGGACATCTGTTACCTCGTTTTCATCTTCAGCCGCAGTTTTGACACCATCTGATTGCTGCCTTATTAATTTTTTTCTTTGTCTCTTTTAAATTTAGTTTTCTTTTAATTTTTAGATTTTATATTAAAAATAATATTTTTTTCAATTTTTTATTTTTAAGTATGTACTACTTTCCTCTTTTTTGATAAAATTTTTCTTGGTCTAATGCGGTTTTTAGTTTTAAAAAGAAAAAAATATTTTTTTTTTAATTACATTTAATTTTAAAATTTAAATATTTTTTTATTTGTCCATTATTTTCATTTAACATGCTTATATTTTTTAATTAAATTTTCTTTTATTAATTAGTTTTTATTATTTTAAAAAGAAAGATATAAATATCTTTTTAATGTTTTTTTTTTAATTATTGCTATAAGGTGAGTAAATAATGCTAAGACCTACTCGTTAGCAGATCTTTCAATATGTATTTCGAACAATTGACAATTGTCTTACTTTTGTCCTTCGAAAGACTGTGGTGAGTTGAAACACAGTTACTACAATTGCCATACTATTCTGGCATGAAAGTGTTACAAAAGAGTTTNAACTTAGACCTCGTTGCTAGTTTCTTATTTTACTATTTTTTAAGCATTTTCTTAAATTTCGACCCAAAGCTATTACAATTGATCTTGTTCTTATTCATTTTAGATAAACACTAATGGCATATTAACATTCAACATCGAATTTCCCGAATATATCAATCAACCATTCCCACTGGAGTATCCATCGATTGCGCCATTCTACGCGAATGTTGACACAACGCTGGCCTATAATATTACTTCGATATCAGTATTTAAATCCGCTGAAGAACAACAGCTGCGAAGGGCAACCGATTTAGTGAAATATGCATTTCCAGAAAAATCTGACTTCGCGGCGGATAAACTGATTGTGGCCACTTGGAAGAATGTTGGTCACTTCAGTGCCAAGAATGACAAGCTCAATACCTTCCAGGCAGTTTTGATCGTCAGTGAGGAAGACACATTTGTACAATTCATTTACGAGCATAACGGTATTAATTGGCTGCAAGGTGAGACAGGCTCGTTGGGCTTGCCCGATATACGCGCACAGGCCGGCTTTGTCGCCGAAGATGGACGTTTCTATTACATCGACGGCTCCGGCACGGATGGTGTGAGTATTGCGCGTAAATATAATTTAACCATTTTTATTTAATTAAAGCACTTGTTTATTCATATGACTCTCTGTAGGCACGTTTCGTCTTTACCGAAAACTCGAACATCGGCGTACCGGGTGTTTGGCTCTTCCATGTTGGCGCTTTGAATGAAACATCTAATGTACAAGTGCCCGTTGATGAGGAAGGTCTCAATGCAGCACCACAAGCGGCCACCTGTGCTGAAAGTGGTCACAAAATCTGCAGCTTCAATTCGGACTGTTATGATAAAGCCAATGGCTTTTGCTGTGTCTGCCGTGAAGGCTACTATGGCAATGGCAAGGCTTGTCTCAAAAACGATTATCCCATACGCGTCACTGGCACATTGGCTGGTGAAATCAATGGTCAGTTGATCGACGAGCGCGCCAAGTTGCAGTCGTACGTTGTTACCGCCGATGCGCGCAGTTACACCGCCATCAATCCGGTGAGTGCGGAGTTGGGCGCACAACTTCGCCTAGCCGTACCAGTTTTCAGCGCCATTGGCTGGCTCTTCGCCAAGTCACTGAAGGGCGCCGCGAATGGCTACCATTTAACCGGTGGACACTTAGTGCATGTGTCGAAGGTACGCTTCGATACTGGTGAGACTTTGATTGTGAATCAGACATTCGAGGGACTCAACTATTGGGATCAGCTGTCTGTGAAGCTCGAGCTCTTCGGCGATGTGCCGCGCATAAGTGGCAATGCGAAGTTGCATTTGGCCGACTATGTGGATGAGTACAAGTATGTGTCGGCTAATGAGTTGCATTCCGTGCATGCGCATGTGATTGAGATACCCGAAGAGAATCGTGTAATAAACTTGCAACTCGATCAGACGATTTACTTTGAACGCTGTGTGCTCGATCATGAAGAGTCACCGACGGGCACGAGTGTATTGCAAAAGGCATCAAAGATTGTGTTGGATTACTTTGAGCGTGATCAGGCTTTGCGTACCAGTGTGTTGACCAAGATTGGCGTGGATGCCGAATCGAATGCCTGTACTGATGGTAGCGCAAGCTGTGGCGAAAATACAGTGTGTGTGCCGTATGAAGACACCTATCGCTGTGATTGTCGGCACGGTTATGGACCGCAGTTGCAGGAAGATGGCTTGGAGGTGTGTTTGGATATTGACGAGTGTCTGCTGCAAACGCATGTCTGCGACGAAAATGCGCTGTGTACCAATAACGAGGGTGGTTTCACTTGTGTATGCTTTGAGGGATTCGAGGGCAATGGCTATCGCTGTCTGCGAAATGATACCACAGTTGGGGAGCAGGAGGCATATACGCCGGATTATATCATTAGCAGTAACTATCAGGATGAGTGTCAGGTGAGTTGTGGGAGGTTGTGAGCGCAGCAAATTGATCTAATCTAAATTTTTGGCGGTTGTTCTCTTTCCACCCTTCAGCGTTGTTCACACGATGCCGATTGTGTTGAGAGCCATTGTCAGTGTCGTAGCGGTTTCGAGGGTGATGGCTATGTTTGCCATCAAATTTGTGGTCATGATCAAGTTTTGGAAAACGGACGCTGTGTGTCGGTTTTGTTGGATGAACATCAAATTGAACCTCATTGCAACTTTTTGGGTGACTGCACCTGTCCGGACGGTTATGAATTGATCGAGGAAACCCAAATGTGTCGTTATAGTTCCGAGGAGTTGGGTAAGTATTTTAGTGGAGCAAGAGGTGAAAAAGTTTGTTGTTAATATTGAGAGCGGAGAAGGAATGCGTGAAATGCGCTTTTATTCTGTGAAGGCGCAATTGAGAAAGACTAAGTCCTACTATCGCGAATTAAACCGGAATATATACGGTGGTTGTAAGATCCTCGATCTGGTTAAAGTCGATTGACGCAACGTCATATCTACTCAGCTTGCAACGTTGGCCTCTAACAAGATGCGGCATATGGATAAAGGACTTGCATGTATATTGAAAAAAAAAATAGGAGTTTAACAGACAAAACTTTCACAACGCTCCCACAGTTTACAGGCCAATCTGTGGCTTCTCGTTTTTGCTAAGTAGGCTTTTGTAGAGGCTTACCATTGAGGAAAGAACGAGCTCTTTACTACTGCAGTGCGGCAATTGGTAGGAGAAGAAGCTTCTCAGCTAAGATTATTTCCTAGTGTCTCCCAGGCAGAAGTAGTTGCCACTAAGAAAGCTGCTCGAATACGCCAAGCGACAACTAGGGCCTTTGGTTTGATCACGGTGCGCTCAAAGCTAGAAGGAAATGGCTGCTTTTTCGAGCGAATATGGTTATTTCCCGGCCGGATTATTTAAGGAACTGCTTTTTGAATGAGCTTGTTACGACAGTTAACCATAAGTACCCTTTGACTACATATATTCTCGTACAGACTGACCTTATGTTGGCTCTGCCAAGGTCTTGATGACAAGGGACGTCCTTAGGCGCAACTCCTAATCCTGTTTGGCACTGTCCGATTGAAAATCATGTAGAGAGACCAAAAATCAGGCAGCTGCTGAAAGCTGGTGCAGTGAGAACACCTCGGCCTTTTTCCGTCACTGTCCAACTTTTGGAAGGCTGAGGACTTAACACAATTTACCGATATTTTTAATCAGTTCTGCGAATCTCACTGGGACTGATTCCATTCGCTTGCGAAACTTTTTCTTTATTGGCACACACTTCTTTCCGCTATAGCCCGGCAGTTTCCGTTTACTGTGGTGTCACAAACGACTGCTGGTTATAGTCCAAGTCTGCTCTTGGTTGGGAAACCCAGCCTAACACAAGCTGGAGTTCAATATGAGCTACGACTATCGCTTTCCTTCTAACTACGAATGAATGGTGAGTTTTCGGTGTCTGTCAAGCTATGACGTCACATGCAGAGGGTTAAAATACTTTAGGTTCCGAGGATTTTTCGAAAAGTAGAAGCGAACGAGTACAATAAAGAAGGGGTTTCTAGACTTTTCTGGACCTATTAAAAATAAGGTCGATGTTGCTGCTAAATAAAAAATAAACATCTGTTGCACCGATAATCGGAATAAGGCTGAATATTTGACGAACTCAGTTTTGTTAAGTGTTTGGCCGAGGTGGTACTCCAGTTTGCAGAGTGCCTATTTATGTAACAATACAAATGGAGGGGCCCGCATTTTGACGTCACCTCCGAAAGGTAAATAGTTTTTAGCGAAGTTTATTCGTCATTTGAGAAGAGTAATGCTACTCGGTAGAACCTAGGTTCGAATAACATCTAAAAACAGAACAAGTTTTATCTAACAGCGGTGGCCCCTCGGCACACACTGACAAAATTCCGAGGGTACTTGTGCCAAAAAATATCTTGTCGTAAATCCGGCTTAAAACTGTGGGCCCCACAAATAGGAGAAGCTCGGCCAAACACTAGCAAAATTGTGAGCACTAAATATTTATTCTTTAAATTTTTGAATGGTAGAAATACACTCGGAAGTTTGCTATTACCTGCCGAAGGGCTGCCGCTAATAGAACAAATTTTGATGTTGACCAGACCAGGAACCAACTCGTGGCTATACCAAGTGCTAGCACGAACCTATAACAACTCGAACACGGCGGCCGCTCTGTCGGTACTAATGAAATTTGAACTAATCTCGACACATGCAGAGTATCGCTATCGGTGTTGGCCATTGTT